CGAAAATGGTGCATGCTGAAAGCCACAAGGGGCAATGACACGAAGAAGGCCACGTTGGGCCGTAGCAAGTAACCTTACAGGAGGAAGGGGGCAAAACCCAGGCGGGGTAGGGACTAAACGTTAACTATATCTTTGGTCAAGGAGAAGTTTTCTTACTCGGGCATGCCATGCTAAGATGGCATCATCATAGTCAGATGACGTCACAGGCCATCCCAAGCGTGCTGCAAGGCATCTCTGGGAACACGAGGTCTCTCGTTAACATCAGGCAACGAGCGGCAGCGCCATACAACATGGTCAAGCGTACCAGTGGCAGCATGGCAAAACGGGCACTCCATAGCATGAGGGTCATTGCGGCGGCCCTGCATGATGGCAAAAACAACAGGCGAGACAGATGCACCTGCCATCACAGCACGCAGTGCATGACTACGTGCAACTGCCTTTCTTGCAAGTTCACAACGCTTCGCATTATATCGAGCAGCACTACACTGAACGGCATCACGCCTGCCGCTTGTCAACCAACCTGCAAATAGGAAATGTCGCCAACTTTCCCGGAGGTTGTGGCGGAGCAAATCAAGATTCATACCATTGGCTGCGGGCATTCCGCGAAATCCGGAGTCGCAGGGCAGGATGGTGCCACTTCCAGACACCTGAGGTCACCCAACCGAATCTGGCGAGCATGCAGCAGAGTGTATCTGCCCAGCCATTCCACAGACACCAAGGTGAAGGGGTGGAGCATGCGGTCTGCTTAACGAGGCGCCAAGCAGCGGATAGGCTGGCATCGCAAGCACGAAAATTAAAATCAAACATGTGACCCCTCAAAAGGCGGGCAAGGTGAGGGCTGGCAGTATGGTGTTCATGCAGGGCCCTGCGGATGGTCTGCTCCACGCGGGTGTTTTGGGCGACCGTCGGGGCCTGCGAAACCCAGCCAAAACTAATCGTAGACATGGGCCCCCCACTTATACAGGACATCTTTGCATTAAGAGGGACAGGGAGGAAACCTGCCCTGGTGATCAAGCGACAAGACTCATCGATTCGGTCTTTTTCTTTTTGGGTGTTTTTGCGCCGAGTGGCCGGCGTGAGACAAACACCCAGAATGCATGGTGAAGCAGTTATGGCCACGTCAGGCACGCCAAGTTCAAGAAAGTGCGTGCGGCCAGCAACCGTTCTGTGGTAAAATTGTGACTTAGCATTATTCTCTTGCAACCCTAAGGTTAAAGACCAAGTTTCCCAAAACCGCAAGACTTGCAGGGCCTCATGGGCAGTTTTTGCCCTCCAAGTTCTGTCATCAACGAAGGTGCGCATTGTGACAGAAGGATGCTCAACACGCAGTTGCCACATGGCAGGTGTCAAAACTGCCACCATGGCAATGAGTGACCAGGCGTCACCCTGAGGCAAGGACTTACTTACGCAAATCGGCCCACGCATGATCTGACCATCATACTGGAGGAAGCGAAGCTGGTGCGACCACAGGTGGCACAGTATGCATGCGAGGTTTGGTGGAAGGCCAAGTTTGCGGAAAATGACATCAGCCACCCGGGGGTCAACGTGATCGAAGGCTTTACTGTAAAAAAGCGAAACGAGGTACTCATCGTTGGCGGCATCTGCGAGTAGGGGGCCCAAGGCTTGGATGGCTTCCTTGCCCTTTCGGCCACCGATGGCCTCGGGCGGCCACCAATTGCTCAACCAAGCGCGTGCTGCAGGGGATGCAAGACGAGTGCTACTCCACAAGCGATGAAAAAATGAGAAAATCGTAAGCGGTCGCAGGGTAGCAACATCACGCGAGCCATCAAGGGCCCTGACACCTTTTCCCGCTTTAGGCAAGTGAACTTGGCGGGCCTCACACCATGCGTTTGGTGACAAGGAAGAGTTTTCACAAGTGTGGCAGAAATTAACAAATGCATCATGAAATTCAATAGGAAAATCTTCAATTTCATTCCCAGACCACCCGTCGGGGCCTGCAGCTTTATCACTGAATTTTTGTGCCTGCGCCGCAAATTCATTGGGAGAGCATTGTTCCCACGGATGTGCAGGGATTTGCGCACGAAAACCAACATTATTACAAGCAAGGGAAATTTTGTTGTAGAGCTCTTGCAGGTTAACCCCTTCACGGAAGCATACCCTACTCCAAAAATTTTTGATTAGGGCGAAGGATTCAGAGGTGGACCTCGTGGGGGGTTGATTATCTTCATCATGCAGGCCACGCGATGGCTGAGGCGCAGCCGTTTTCAGCCACCGGTAGCAACGCGATTGAGAGGATCTCAAAGAAGTTTTCCAAGCATCAATCCTAAGCTTCCTAGCGTTGTCACGCTCAGCTTGGATGGCGCTCTCAGCTTGTTGGACTTGCTGGGCCAAAGTCCCAGAAAGTGGCAGGGACAGGCGACGGATCTTGGCTTGCAGGTTACCGTAAGCAACCGTGTGTTGCTTGCCCAACCTTTCAAGTTTCTGCATTTCACGCATTTTGGCAAGAGCATGACGATATTACGAAAACGGAAACTATCCACAATTTTCCTATCAGGGTAGCTGGCGTCAGAGCCAGGACGTATTTCAAAAATTCCTTTTCGGGGTCTTGCATCAAAATCAGGAACCTCACAGTCAAGCAGTTCACGACGGGCTCTACGCTGATGAAGGGTGCGGTAGTGAATGATGAACAAGACAGCTTGTAAAAAATCTTCTTTTCAGTCACCATTTAGCTCCAAATGCAACACTGGGAATCCACTTTTCCTCCTGGGCCTCAAGCCCTTTGGTGTGCATGCATTCGGTTGGTATTAGATTGACCACCGGTCGGTCACCTGAATTTCATAAAGTGTGGGTTGGAAGTTACGGTGTCCGCTACAAGTAGTTTGCAGGAGGGTAGCAGTAAGACTTGACAGGTTGGTTGAACGAGACCCGCTTTGCCCCGCATGGTGCCCGGGCGAGCTACTGCCACAATTATGCTTCCCTTTTTGGTGCTTCAGACGACAGTACCTCAGACCTACTATGCTCACCGATAGAACCCCAAGCCCATTTGCCATGCAAGAAATGTTGACGGTACCTCATCTCGGGTTCCCAGGCTGCGTCAGCTTTCGTGCAAAAGCTTTCAGAATGAAACATCCAGAGTTTTGAGCTCAGGCTTCTTGCCTGAGATCTGTAGAAGGAAGACTGGATTCTTTCTAGAATGTAAAGATGTTCAAATCGTGAGAGCAGCCCTCTGCAGTGTCTGAACTTTTTGGCTCCTGTCGTGCGTGTTTGGACAAGAAGGTCCTTATGCATTCGCGGCATGTGAAGAGTCCCTGTTTAGAGACAAACTCACTGGAGAGCGCTTAGATTCAAATCGCTGCCATCCATTCCTTCACTCACTCCCTGCAAAGCCTTCTCCAATTGATGTTCTAGAGAACTCCTACAACCAGCCAAGGGGTCTAAACCCAAACCACGTGAATGGACCTCAAATCCTAAGCCACAAACCTCAATTGCTGAACTCAGCAGTTGGAGTCCTGAACCGTTTGTTGAGTCACTAAGGTGCTGCTGGTAGTGGTGCCCCTGTCTTCCTGAACGAGGAGGGTGCCTCACCCAGCACAGGGATGGTGCAGGGCAGGGTTTTCATTTAGCTATTGATCAGAGTGTAAATGGGTTTGTTAGGGACGTTTGTGGTGCATTGCAAGCCCCTACACTGTCTCCCTGGTGCAACATTACCGGCCTCTGGAAGAATTTCCTCTTTCTGGGATTGGCAGGGACTAAACTCCTCTAAACTTGTGTTGACACCCATGTGCTCTGTTACAAGACTAGTCGGCTTTGGAGCCTTTTGCGTTCTATGTTTGCTTGAACTGGCCTAAATCTTGCCGCAATTGGTGCGCAGATGTCCATTTTGAGCTCTATCGCGTAAGGCTTTGCACGCGGTCATTTATACGACGTACTTGAGTTGCCAGAAGGAGGGGTTTTGGTGAGAATTCGTGCGTTAGATGTCCCTGAGTTAGGGACATTGAAAAATTGGGGCTTGCCGTCGTTGGGGAACCCTACTTGACTAGAGCTAAGTGAGGACACACATATTTGGAGCATCTTCGTATAATGTCCTGTCCATGCTGGATTGGAGGGCAAACTGGGTGCCAGCGTTGAACGGGTTTGTGGGCTCAACCGCGCAGATTGGAGCTGAAGGGCTCATTGAGGTTAATGGTCCTTGTCCGAGTGGGGCCTTTGAGCGAGCTCAGGTCAGATGTACTTGTACCATGGACCTACCTGTTCTCCTGGCTCTGTTGGGACGCGCTGGATTCTGTGCCTGTGCTGAATTTGTAGACTGTTGAACCTTGTGTTGGGCTCGCTGAGCTGGACCCTGTGCTTCTCCCATTTCTCCGAAAGCTTCACCGCCATCCATTCCATTTGACTGATGTTTTGGGGTTCACTGCCCCCAACATAGAAACCAACATCGCCTCCGTAGATTTCCTTCCCTTGCACGCAGCATATCCTGGGAAACATTCTATGCTGCCGGGAGGTGGGTTTTCGTTTTAAGCAGATCGGGCTATGATCAAACTCGTGTTTTTCACCGGTGTTGTTGAACACGCCCTACACCAATACTGGCAGCCTCCGTTCAAGACATAAAGAAGGCCCGAGAACTTCTCACGAGACTAGCAGAAGGGATATCTGAGATGAGGGATTGAACGCCGCCGATTGCGCTTCACCATTCAGAATCATTGGGCCTAAAAGAGCATGTTTTTGGCTAGGATGTTGTGAGCCCTGTTGGCCTTACTTGGCTGCGTCTCTCTTGCAGACCGGGGCTCTCCAGAGAGCAAACTTTTCAGACTTAGTTTGGTGGGACCCACTTCCCAGCCCTAAGTCCTGAGCCCGAAACACAGCTGTGACACATCTTTGTCCCCAGGCCAAGGCTATCATGTGTTCTTTGATTTGAAAGACTTTTTAAAGCCCAAGCCCTTAACCAAAGCCGTAAACCTGAAACCCCCAAACCTGAAACCTGGAGCCTGGAACCTTAAACCAAAGCCTGTAGACCCCACAGAGCCCAAATTTGCTCCCAGGAGTCCATCCCTGTGCAATGCTGGCTACTACGTGGGCTACGCAGTGAACTCTGACTCGACCAGGTCTCGGGGCTCCTCATAACTTGCGCAGCGGATTCAGTACTTACATTTTCCTTTTTCAATTTTTTTTTCGACTTCACCGGCTTCTGGCTAGGGCAGGGGTTGGGGGAGGGGGCAAGAGGGGGACAATTCCATCCATGGTGAGCTGCACATGTAACACGCTCCAGCACAGGCCACGGCAATGCCAGCATCAACAGAATCAGCAACTCGCCCTTGAGAATGCTCTCATACTCTTGATCTGTCCGTTAACCCCGTGACATGCTCGAAACATTGACCATTGTGGGTTGATACACAGATAACACAGCATCTTTGTGCTGGGCACACATCTCCAGCACATACCGCCGCAATGCCAACGGGAAGTAGCAAATTAAGGAATGCTCTTGCACATGAACTTTGAATCTCAAGTCTGTGACATGCTCAAAATACACCAGCCAGAGTGGGACAAAATGCAATCTCACAAAGTATTAGTAAAATGTAGAATCGCGAAAACTGCGTACGACGCCAGAAAGCAGACGAAAGTGTTCAATAGAAAACATGAGCAGTTCGCTTATATACGCAACCCGAAAACAAGTGTTCATCGCACCTTTTATTAGGAAACCCTGGCAGGCATGGGACAAAGTCCAACATCAGATGGTGTTTTTGCTAATTTGAGGAGGGTCACGTTGGGTTGTTTGAGGACGTAGAACTATGTTGTCAAGGCTCCCTCCTAAAGGACTTCACCCACGGATGAGGGCCCCAGATGTCCTAGCGAAAACTTACCCAGCCACGACCCATACACCTGCCCCCGAAGCGTGCACTGCAACCGTGCTTGTTTCGGCAGGCCGCCGTCTTCAGACACATGGTTCATGGACTGTCGCAAGGCAGGATGGCAAGAGCTCCTTCGGCCGAAATGTGTAGCTTCCGGCGTGGAGAGATGGTTGGTGTTTTTGAGGAGAGATGGGTGCTTTTGAGAAGTGCTGATGTCCCCGTTTGTGGTCATCGTCTTGTCTGCATCCGCAAAGTCTGGTAGTGCTAAAGCCAACGCCCTTAAAAAAATGAACTGCGCCTGCAGGGGAATGCCGGCATCTCCAAGCCAAGCAAGCCATGGCAGCCACAGCAAGTTTGTTTTCCAACAAGCTGTGTCTTTGTTCAAGTCAGCTGAGGTTAACGACCCTTGGAGCAATGATGGTGATTTGGGAGTCCAATCCCCCTTGCTACCATTCATTCCTTTTGGTCCTCAACAGATAACATGGACTGCCATGGTGCAGTACGTCTCGATTAGGGAAAGAGCTTGATCGAGCTGTGAGATTGAATCGCGGACTTGTCCCAAAAGGGAATAGCTTATCGATTGGACTTCAGAGTTCTGTTGGTCGATGTGCCCGAACGGAGCATTCGGGCTCAGGGGTTCAAAGTGGTTTCATGTTGCGAGAACGCTGCATTGTTGTGAGGATCGACCTCCTCCCGCTTGTGGAAGATGCTTGGCTAGACGGGCGATACGGGCATCTTTCAAAATGGGGGTGCGCCTAATGCTTTGGAGGTTTAGGAGAGGCAACTCAGAGGCCCGCCTTGCAGGTGTTCACATTTGCAGTGCTAGGCTCCTGAGCCTCACAGCCAGGACGCCAAATGGACAAACGCAAAAAATGCTTTTTGCATATTGTGGGCCACATGTCCAAGTGAACACGTTTGCAAGCCTCAGTATCTTGACCAATTCATCGTCACAGAGCTTAAAGGCCTAATCGAATCCACACAGGCCCAGAAGACAGCTCCCCTCGGTCCAAACCAGGAGAAGATTCCAGGCAACGTGTTCGACAGGCTCAACTCCAGCTTGCAACCTGGCACAGTTTTTCAGGGAGGTTTTTGCTGGTTCTTAGGGCTTAGGTGGTCAAGGCTTTAGGTTTTTGTCATCTACAAGCACTCAATGCAGGACTAGCACTCCGAATCACGTTGAAATCTCAAACCTCAGATCCTAAACTCTGAATACTGAACCTTAAGCCCTCCGTTGTAAAACTGAAGACTGAAATCAAGTTCGTCCCAGACAGAGACCCAGGCAAGTTACCAGCAGTCTGTGCCCGGAGCGAAAACTTCTTGCCAACAGCGCAGCCAGCCTGCGACGTGTTTAGGGGCTATGAATGGATTGGACTTTGGGTTGAGGGCTTAGGATCCAGTGTCTTTTGAGTTTTATGTTTGGCGATGGGAATTCGCAAGGCTGAGGTCCAGTTTTTGTGCAAGGGATAATGATACAGAGATATCTGTTGTTCATGCAGCTTCACTTTCGTTGGTAATAGATTCCATAGGCCATAGGACCGAGAAAAGCCGCAAGGGTTCTTTAGGGGTGTTGAGTTGAAAGCAGGCTTGGAGCCAGCTTTTCCGGACCCAGAACTGCAAAGAAACGGACTCTGCCATGCCCATCCGCGCTCATTAGCCTCGAGTCCTGCAAAAGCCTGCCAACATTCCTAAATCCTCTGCGAGAGCGTTGTTGAATCCCCAAGCGCTCCAACCAAGATTCTTATTGACCTCTAGCACTGTTCTCCCAAACCACACATTCAACAAGCTTGCTTGCGGGCAAGAGTACGATATTCAGCCTTCCAAGCCTCAGCTCAAACGGCTGCCCGCCCCTGAACCAGAAAGCCCGAATCCAGTGCAATTTGCTTGTATTTCAAGCCCATGCCGCACAAACTCTACAGGATTTGGAAAGGAGTTTCCAGCAGAACGTGTTTCAACTCGTGCAGCGAAAATGTACAGGTATGCTGAGTCTTCACAAAAAATGAGACATCACACATACTGTCGAGGTCTGAAGAATGAGCAGCATGATTCTCCCAATCTTGGGTAAACATTCACAGTGGTTTTGGTTGTAGGCCAGCCTTGTATTCTTTACAGTGCATGTGGTTGTATCTCTCTAGATCCTAGACTTTTTGCATCCTTCAGTAGACAACATCTGGTACTCAACTGACAGTACTGTATGTCTTAGACTTACGCACATCAAGGTCTTCGAGCTGCAAGGGGAGACGGACAGTGGAGCTCCGCTCTACAGGCGCGTTTAGGATGCAGAGTTCACAATGTCTTTAGGTGAGCGAAGACATAAAACGTGGAAGTTTAAGATATCTAAACTTCGAATCAATTGTCTTACGGGCCTAGACAGAGGAAAATCTGAGCGGTAAGCCGAGAACTGTGATGTGAGACAGGTCGTCGGACGGCACCTACCTTTACCATGGCTACTTGTTTGAATCATGCAGAGCTTCAGGACAGATGAGGTTCCTAGCCATGTGCTGTGCTGCTGCGGTAATTGCTCTCTTTGTTTGGGTTTTGGCTTCGCTCTGATTTTATTTCCGAGCTTGGCGTGCGAGGTGTCGGGTAGGTGAGGCTCTCCTTCCTTTGTCAACTCAACAATGAGGTTGCTCATGGTTACTCAAGAATGTATAGATCCCAACGTCTGAAAGCCCCAGCAGCCCAGACTCAGCCTTCGCACAAAAGCACTAATGAACCCGAAAAGCGTCAAACGGTCAGCGCGACGCCCAACCCCACTCTGAGGTCCACACTGCGGTATCGGACAGACTGGGAAGAAGTGGGTCATCAGCCCTGCACTGTGTACGCAAGGTCCGGGGTACAAAAGGTTTGCAGGAAATCTGCCAAAGTGTTCAAGGATGAGGTTTGGGATTTGTGGTGCTTGCAGGGAATCACGAGAGATTGGCTTTCACAGATTCATCTGGCGAAACGCACCCGGCTAGTCAGCGAGTCAGGACAGTCATTGACACTCCATTGTTTTGAGGTCGTTCTGTGGACGTCCTCTATGAAGAAGCCTTGAGATTCACCATTTGGATGGTGTACAGGGTACGAAAAAGTGCTGCTTCTCCGTGAGGCTTCGACTATGCCTACATCCTGTCAGAGGATGAGTCTGGACCACCGCTGTCATCCTCTGCATGGTCCCTGAATTGCGGAAGGATTCCGGCTGTTCACTTTCCTCTTGAGTTAGAGTTTCAAGGTATTTGGGTTCAGGCGTGGTAACCAGGTTTGCAATTGGTAGTTTAGTTTTCAATAGTTTTGACTTTCAAATGATTCCGACTTTTCAATTCGAGGGACGATCGGAATTCTGCAGGGCTCTTGCGGGATGGCCGTGTTGAGGGTTGAGGGTGTGATCATCTTACGAGGCGCTACCGGTGCTGCAGACAAGAGTGAGCTAGTTTCCCGGGTCCATGAGTATTTGAAGCAAGCATTGCTGTTGAAACAGGTCTTGACCCTTGGTTTCAATGCTCTCGACTTCATTCTGGCTTACACCTTGCCGAGACCGTAGAGGTACCGAAGGTCTACTAGTGTACTACGGTACAAATGTCGGAAGCAGAATGGCTTTTCCAACCCGCGGGTGAAGTTTGCCTCTCAAATACTTGCCATCAGTTTAAGGGGCATGCTTGCATGTGCAATCTCCGCTTCCTCTCTGAGGACTCTCATGGCAAAGCCGAAGCAAAAATGCAAAACTGTCATGCAGCAGTTCTTTCCAGCAATGTAGTCGCATCATGTAATGGCAAGTTTGTTTTGAGCAGCCCGCACATCTTCACCCGTTACTCGTGACCGCAATCCTGAGCCCCCAGTCCTCAATCTCTGAGCATGCTGCAAGTTTTGCATCAGGAGCGGATGGTTGCCTATGGGGATTGAGTTCAGCCCCATCACACGGATCTTTGGCCATGTTGAGATGGGTTCTGTCTTTAGCAAGTCTCATGAGTTGTGAATGCTTTGGCCTCTAGGTTCAGCTGGCAGAAAGGTTTTCTGAAGGGTTGCCCTGTCACAGATTTAATGGATGAGATGGGGTGAGTGTTGCCGAGGGGACGGGGCCTGCAGTAGCCCATTGCGGGCCTGACCCGGCCTTGTCTTGAAGTTATTCTTGTGGGATGGCCGTCCTCGTGAGAGGCCTCCACCCATCTCAGAGGTTGTCACCTTAGCCCAACAGATGCTGACGCTTCCCCGAGAAAATGTCGTGTCGTGTGGTGTCGTCGTGGTTTACACCCCTGAAAATCTTCAGATGCGTGCTCTACCGTACTGGACCTCTGGGTTGTTTCATGTTGTATCCGTGGCTGCTTGTTGTTAGAAAGCCCTCTTTCATGTGTTTCGGTTATGGGGTCCCAGCAGAATCCAGGCCAACCCCTTTAAATGGATCCCCAGAGTCCTCAGAACTGAGCAAGCCTTGTTGATTTTAAATTTGTTGGCCACTGCCTTGTGGTTTAGCGAGCGAGGGAGAAACGTCGCATCAAAGCCTCACAGCAGGTTGCAGGCTTTGGATATGGCGACGTACTTCCAACTCATCGTACTTGTGAGTTCAGGACTTGGAATCCCTGTATGTCGCAAATTTAGTTGTATCCCGTATCCCCTGAATTGTTCTTGTAGCGCTCTTTAATTCAAGCCTCTCAGACCTAGGTACGGCCGCATCAAGACGCCCAAGGAGTTTTGCTTGCAAGCTTGGCACGGCGACCCGCTGTTGCAGCCGTGCACAGCTGACTCGTCTCAGCTGCAGCTTGCCGAGGTTTGTCAAACATCCCACCCTCCAAGAAATCCTACCTGTAGCATCCCAAATAGAATGGGGCCTACTCAATTTTCGGTGTGGCGCATATCTGATGTCAGGGGGAGGGGGTTGTAAAGTATTGCTGTACCTAGCGGTATACGACATAGAGACTCAGCATTCGGGGTTATAGTCATGGTTGCTTAGGGTTCGTCATCCTGAAGATTTAAGAGCTTTCGGGTAGGATTCTGGAAGGCAGAAGAAGGGTTTGGGCTTTTTGGTCTGGTGATTACCAGCTCTTTTCAGGTCTGTGCGCGGGGTGAAGCCTGTGCTCAGGGATTCTCAGGTTTCGACTATTTGATGTGTACGGTTCAGGTTTTGGCACGAGAGATAGACCGTTGGACTCCGGAGGTTCCCGTTTTCCCCGTTGCCAGTGCACGTAGGTGTGAAATTAGTTGTTGCTGCTTCTTTAAATGTTGTTTTGCGGTGTTTGATTGAGGTTGAGGGGTTTCAGAGCTTTGGAAACACGGTAGTTATGGGATTGAAGGCGTGAAGAGCAGGGCATAAGGTCCAGTGACAAGTGTTTCTCACACAAAGTGTTGGAAAACAGGACGCACCACTCAGTTTCTAGCATGAAGTCTGGTACAGCGTTGTGGCTCAGGTGGATCTATAATGGTACCAGCGGCTTGCTCAAGGATCGTCATGGCGAATGCCTCGAGGCACGCTTGGGAGCAACCAGGGCGGGTTACATCAGCCCTCGTAGCAGAGCGTAGCAGAGTGATGATAAGAACTTGAGTCAAAATCAATCCCACACCGAAGGTTGATTACTGCTTCTAAGTGTTGTGTTTCTCAGAAAAGCACGCATCACGATCCTTACCAATGAGCCCTATAGCCCTATATCACCCCCACATCTCCAGGGTCGATATTGTCCGGCTCTGCCCACATTTTCCTGACTCATGGCCTTTGGCAGCTCAGAGAGGGTGCGAGTGTACGATTCTTGGTGACAGCTAGTGTGAGGAACGCGAGAGAATTTTGATTTGGTTGCGCCTGTCTTTTGGGGTGATTTCGTTTGGGGCATTCCAAGCCCAAACCGTAAATGCTCAACCTAGAGTCCAAGAGGACTTGCAGCCAAAAGCCCAGACGCAGCGTCAACGATGCAAAGTTCCAGACTCGCTTCACTATGCATCTGGCAGGTAGGAGGGCGTTCCAGCGACCCTCGGGAAAAGGCGGCCTACAGACAGACCAACAACCCAGCAGTTAGCTCCCCCGCATCATGCGGATGCAAGACAGAATACCGCAGTGTCACTGCTCAGAGTGCCTGTGCCCAGGCCAGGACTCAAGGCAACTTCGGGAAACAACCTGAGAAACAAGAGCCTCCTAAAAACCCACGCAGCAACGGATGAGGGCGGCAGAGCTTGTTGCTCCGCCGTGGCTTCAAGAACCCGCGGTTCAGCTTCTTTAGCTATAGGAGGGAATCTCTTTCAACTGCCCAGTCTCCGCTGGCATTGAAGAAGACTGCCCCGCAGCGTCTAGGCAGTAGTTATCAAGCCCAGGGTCCTGCGTCGCAGCTTGTTTGTCAGTGAAAGCATCCCTATACGTCCTAAGATGTGTAGCCGCCATAGCTCGCAGGACCCCGGGTCCTCTAGACTGAGAAGGCATGGCTAAGGTGAACAATTGCCGCTGTCAGCATTCGGCATTACCAACAGGCAAGCAGACCGGTTACCAATGTTTCCAACTATTGCAAAATTTAGAGGGCATGCGCTTGAGAAGCATTGTCATCGCCGGCATCTCGCCAGCAGCGCTGCAAGGATAACCAGGAACAAACTATTCGCCACGCGCGCTTAACAGTCTGATGAAAAGCAACAAGCCATCAAGGAGGAGCCTTCCAAATGTCCACAGGGGCCAACTGTGAGCAATGCAACTCTCTCAGCACACCTGGCAAAAGAAAGCAAAGCACATCATCCCAAGCAAAGGCAGCAGCCAAATCCCATCTCCAAGTTTGCAGTGCAGAGAGGGCCACACCCAAGGAACTGAGGCACTGCAAGCGCATTATTGAAATGGCTCACCATTCTGGTGAGAATTTGAGTGGCAAAATGAGGGACTTCACCCCAACGTCCCAATGCACATGGCCGCAAAAAGCAATCCATGTGAAGCTCTACGCGCTAAGGGACCCCCCCCCACCAACAGCCGGAGGCCATTACTACATGCTCATGACACTGTTTGAACGGATGCAACCAAACCCCAAGTTGCAGTTTCGACTGGCCTTTTAGCCGCTCTGCACCCAGTGAGTGCCCCATCACTTGGTATTGCACCCGTGGAAGCGGACGCTTGAAGCCTTTCCAGGCAAGGCCTCAAAATTTTTACCATCGGTCCCTCAAATATGTTCCCAAGGATGACGAGAAACACTCTTGGGACCTTTCAAGCCGGGACAAACATTTGAGTTCACCTCTTCTCGTAGGGCCACGGGATCCTAAAGGTACAGCTTGATTTCCTAGAAGGAGTCTTGTTATCCCCTTGTCAAATGCCCACGGGTGGTACATGCTGCAGCCACAAACCGCCGATTCCCAGAACCCTACTCGTACAAGCGAGCACGTCAATAAAAAGATAAACATGATCACCTGGTACCCTGAGACATGCTTGTTGCAGGCGCCCATCGTTGGTGCGTTCCTGACGCAGCCAGTGGGCACCCCGGTTCGCACGGCGGAATGCGACCCTGACGAGCCCAGTCAGCAGTGGGAGCAACCTGGCCTGCAGGTTCCTACCGAAACAGCTTGCAGAATTACAAGTACTAGTGCCGTATATCCTTGTCAATGTGTGTAATTCTGTCATATTCCATCTTGGAAAAACTCTTCGCAGGATAGCTGTGTAGTCCCTAGAAGCTTACGTCTCAAACTTAGTTGCAGTATGTGCCTGTTGGCTGCCTATTTGGGTCCTATGTGACGTACGTGCCCGAACGGAACATTGAATCGCAAAAAGGAGCGTGGGAGAAGGCCTACAGATGAAGTGATCGTTGCTCACACGAGAAACGATTGAGCAGAGGAAAGCGCAGATGAGATTTAAGTAAAAAGTTTCCACTTCGTAGCAGCATGGACACCGAGCTTTGAATTTGGTGCTGGGCCTGAGCGCTTAGATGCAAGGACCGCAAGTGAAATGCGTTGTTTCGGAATATGTGCGTCGTAGATTCTATAATGACATTACTGTTTTTCATTGACTGGCTCGCGTGGCAAAAGACGGGGCACACAATGTTTCAAACACCTGTGTGATAATCTGCTTTAGTTGAATTTGCAGAAGTGGTTGTTCTTTCTCTCTTTACATGTACATCTCCATAGCCTTGGTCAGCTTGCAGTCGCCGCTATTGCATCGACGGGACCCAGGTTATCCCTTTTAGTCCCTTACGTCAAACACTTCAAGCTCTGAGAGTCCCCCATTCCCATGGCGCATAGACCGAAACCCCAATCCTTGAAGACTGGATACAGATCTTGGCAGCCTCAACCCTAATCTCCAAACCCCGAACACTGAACCGGATCGTTATGCAAGTAACCAGGTCACAATCATTTCTGGCCAAAGCTTCCCTTTTGCGTCTTTAGACTTACAGTGTCAAGTTGAAGAACCAAGGCCCTCTAACCTGAAACCCCGGAACACGCTTGATCCAAGGTACCTGGAGGAATCCAATCAGGCTTGCACAAGCTTTTGAGTCAACCGCTTAGACTGGAATCCGGCAAAGAATTTCGAATGCGATTCTCTCATGGTCCTGTAGACTTACTTGTAGTGTGGGATACCTCAGGACTACTTGAAGCAAAGCCGGCCATTGTCCCAACCATATCGTTCATACACGTTCGGGCTCTTTGTAGCGTTCCATATTTGTCTGGATGGTTACGTAGTTATACCACCCTACGAAAAAATGTTTGACAATGACTGCGCAGGGCTACGGAGCGCAGCATAGATACATATAACTTGAGTCGTTTGAGTGCTACCTAGGTCACCAAAGAAGGTGGAATCTGGGAGGGCTTTGTTTTGTCAAAACATCCCTTTCCCAAATGAGGCCCCGATTTTGACCTCTCTAAAGTACTTAATGCGTCTTAAAGGCTGCCCTAGAAGAGCTTGCAGAAAAACAATTTGCATGACAAAAGAGTCGACATTCTGCCACGTTTTGTGCGCATACGTAAATCGAGGCCACCAAGCAAGACCTCCGGTAATAGGGATAAACCCGGCTATGGTTTCCATGCTCGTGGAAGGGTAGAGCTTGGCCGAGCCTCAAAGTGCTTGGAGGGTCAGGGCCTAGTAAGTAGTTAAATAACGAGGACAACTAGGCTGATAACAGAATATGGCTTGTATGGGTTATGAGTTATTTGCTAGGTCCCCTGACCCTCCAAGTGTTGTTGCCAGGTGAAGCTGCGGAAGGGAAACTGTTTAGACGCCGCCCAGCCTGACACAGCTGCTGAGGCATTGTTTGGAATAGTCTTTTAGGGTTTAGGCAGTCTTGGGTTTAGTTTTCAGGGCCCACCACAGTGTGTAACTGCAGGCTCTCCGGGCTTTCTTCGAAATGAAGATGTAAGGAGTGTCTTTGATACATTTTGATACTGTGTTGAGATTATTCCTGAGTTGCAGGAGAAGCATGCAGGATTCACATACTCCTACATATTGCATCACCATCTATGACCCTGGGTATTACTAAAGATGTCGCATGTGGCATTTCAGCACTTCCGAGTAAGGTGGGTGGACGCGTGCAGTCTTTCCCATGCCACATTGGCAACGACAACCAAGTTTGGGTCTTCTCTAAAGATTAGAGTGAGTAGCCATTTAGTGCTCGGCCCAAACATCATGGGTCCCCCATGTACAAGGCCCAGAAGGACCGCCCCACGCGGGGAATTTTTTGGGGACTGCTGAAGACAGGGCGGCGATGCTTTTGTACAGGCAGCCGCCATGCAATGCTCCGGGTAAGTCTCGGACTGTTCGCTCTCTCGCTAAGGAGACATGTGAACGTGTCGCTTTTAAGTGGGATAAGAGGATCCCCAATGACGAGTCAGATGTTATTTTCCTCAATATCCTTGCAGAAAGTGATAAGCAAAGCTTTGCTGTTGGGCTTAGCAACAGCTGGAATTAACTTCTCACGTGCTTGCAGCACGATTTTGAGGTCTTTTGCTTGCGTAGGTTGGGCGGGGGGCTTAATAAGCAGGCCAGTTTTTCGACTTGTACGTAAGGGTCGGATCCGACAAGATGAATCTGGCTACACCTCCTACCCACACCCCCTACCCTTCTGAGTCTTAGTCTGGGAACCGAAAGGAGCAGGCTTATTGATGAGACGATGGGCCAGCCGACCCTGCCAAGCGGCAGGTGTTTGGCAGACGGTGCTAGTTACTAGTTTGAGGAAAAAAGTTGGTCATGCGCTGCATGCATCCCTACATACATACTTCCCAGAAGGTAGAATCCTACATGGCAGCTCCAAAAGCGAGGGCCAACACGCTGGGGGACAGCCATTTTGGGCACCCAGGCATGATAGCTAGGAGCGTACATCAAGACTTAAGACTTGCAATTGTTGACAATACTTCACTGTTCCATGTCTACATTTACGCGCATTATGAAGTAGGAGTGCCCATGATTAGCACTGGCTGCTGGCTTTTTTGAAGATCCATCCTTGGTTTCATATCAGCAGCATCACAGATTTCCATCATCAGGATACATTTGCACAAGTCATGTGGGTGCAAAGTTCGGTCTTCCTTTTTTGGGGTCGTATAGAAAGGATCTTAGGCTCCGTCACATATGGCCCAGAGAATATTGTCAGACTTCATGAGCTTCCTACTCAGGGGCTGCTGTTTCAGCTTACCTAACATGCTGCACCAGTTAGTTGTACGTAAGGCAGCTCCGCGCTTCTCACTCGCACAAGCAAGATGCAAGACCCAAACATCTGCATTTCGACAACTAAACATGTCCATGCTTGAAGCCTGGAATCCGAACCTCTTCAGCTCAAACTCTGAGCCGTGAGACATAACCCTGAAACTGAAACCATTTGAAACCCCAAGTGCAGCTGCTGAATTCTAACACTCAAGCCCAACGTGCAGTGCACAACCGGAAATTCTCAACGCAAAGTCCCCGGAAATTCTCAACGCAAAGTCCCTGATCCGCAAACTCCAGGAGAGCCCATATGGTGATGCTGAGGACACCGGACAGGCCACTGGAAGGGGGCTCAAGACTTAGGATCCGTGTTCAGGGATTTAGGGTCTGGCAGTGAAGGGTTTAGGGCCTCGGCTGCAGAACTTCAGGGACGGGTCAGACCAATCAATCTGTACGTGGGAGATGACGAATCTGCTTGACGGAGGCACGGCCATATCGACACCATCAGCCCGCATGGTCTACTCTCTCAGCTTTAATTTGGGTCGGAGTGTTGCCCTCAAATTTTGTTGGATTGTTTTACGAAAACAAGGTGCGGCCGTCAAGTAACTTCCACTATCTCACTTCAAGCCCATAGACAATTCAGGGGAACTGTTCAGTAATTATTTTCTCTAACCTTCGCGTACTGCCGGGTCCTTGCAAGTACGCCCTAACCACTGACCTCAACTTCCTATATGTAACCACAGAATTCCCATGCAAATCCCAGAGCTCATAATCGGAAACCTCAGGGTCCTGCAACTTCAAAGTATGCTCAAGGTTCTAGAGCCTAATCTCTCAAACACCCTAGACTACCTTCTGCCTGGGCAGTGCCTCTCCATGCACCAGCCGTGGGCGTCACTCCTTGTGCACCTGGGTGCTAGTTGGTTGAGGGTTGGACGCTGTGAGGTCGGGGTTGGGGGCTAAGATTAGCATGCTGTAGGTTTACGGTTGCAAGTCTCGGGTCTGGGTTGAGGTTTCAGGGAGAAGTGGTTGGGTAGTGGTGGAGGTGTCGCATCTCAATATCAAAGGTCCTGTTTTGTTCAGCTTAATTACTTACAACGTGAAACTGGGTGATTGTTGGAGTTGCGCCAGGATGCGTTCCGGAAACATAGCTGTTTCAAGGCTGCATACCTCTGGACCCCTAACTTCACATGACTTCAAAACTCAGCTTAGTACTGGCCATCGCAGGAGTAGAGCAATTAGGGGCCGGCAACCTACTCCCAAGGCAAACCTTCACGGAACTCACCAGTTTGACCTTCAATGTTCCAAAGTGCAAGATGGGAGCTTGAGTGATACAAGTTAATTACCTCGGAATTTACCCTAATGTCCTGCCCGAAATTTGGTTTTTAAGGTTCAGCTCGTGCTTTAGTCATGGGTCTTCGGAACAAGCCAAGATAAATTCAACCCTCAATCCCAAGCCCTCCATTTCCAGACCCAAAACGATGGTTTAAACGGTTTTTGTAGCCGAACACCACTTTCCTCTAAACGTTGATTCTTGAACCTCGTCCCCGGAAACCTCAAGCCTCAATCCTTTAAGGCCTCAATCAGCGACTCTGGCCGCTAACTCTTTAGATCCTGAACCCAGGCACGGCTTCAAGCGGGCCGAAGGGCGATCGCTAGAGCCTCGGAAGAGCTCCCTGCACGGATGTGACAAAGAGGGTGCGAGGGGCTGAAACTTAAACTCTAAAGACCTGAAACCTACACCTCAGACCTTAAACCCTCAAGGACCCTCCAACTTGGTGTGTCCTTGCACAGGGTTTCGAGTTTGAGAAGCTGCAGTGGGTGTTTAATACTGACTTGTGTGAGGGATCCTAGCATAGGACCTGGGGCCACCACAAAGACTATTTGGACGTAGCGAAAGCATGCGGCTTTCCAGTGGCTTGCCGAAAAGAAAGAGCAGGGGCTCCGTTAAAGTCACCCCTCGGGAAGACGGCCGGAGCATCTGGTCGTGGAAGTAATGCCGTTCCCCAATATTTGGAGTTTCACATTCGAATAACATAGCATTTGAAACTGGCATTTCAAAAGGCCGACTAGGTCCGTGGCTTGTTACAGGCAACCCTACACATGCCTCCTGTATTGGAAACTGCATGTAGAGGTTCATGGAAAACACGTGTTCGAAATTCTGGAAAGTCTTATGGGTACCCCTATGTTTAAAAGCCCCCATTTGCTGTGATTGCTCTCTTGGCATGTGTCCTGCAGCTTGAACCTTCAACCCGCAGTTGTTCATTGCTCAGGTGGAACACGGATCATAGAGGCCACCACCTCAGGCGAGTGCCAATTCGCACCTAGTGCCGTGCACCACTCCATCTTTTTGAGCTTTTCAAGCCCCATGTTTCAAGAGCTGTTGACAGTTTATGTTTTCGAGATTGCAGTTTGGGGCACCTTCTCGTACTAGGGGGGTGATCCAATCCTGACTGTCCTCACGACCATATACTTCAATCTCGAATGTGCGCAGGGCTCATGAGGCAGGAACAGAAAAGGGACTTCAAACCCGGCCCGCCAATTCAGCAACCGCCAGGCCAAATCATTTAGCGCCATGTGTTCTTATGGCTGACACCTTTGCACACAATGCCTCTTCATTTCTCTTCCTCATGGTTCTCTTTTTCAAGCGACCAGCCCTGCTGCAGTAACGAGCGAAGAGAAACCAGGTCAGTCCATGGCCTCCCCAATAGAGACTAAACTGAAAACTCCCCAGAAGAACCTAATACGCCACAAAAATGAAAGTGGAACAGCCCTAGAATTCGTAAAGCTTTAGGCTTTAGCCCATATCTTTACACCCTAAGCCCTAAATTCTTAACCTGACCTTCTGCCCTAAAGCCCATGCTAAACCTGACTGCCCTCCACGATACGGTTTTTCCCCGATAACCCATGTTCATTCATCATGTTCCCTTGACTATCATCTTTGTATATGAACCCAGCTGTCGCCGAGGTCGCCTCTGGATACATGCGACGTCCAAAGCTCCAGATCCGGATGAGATCGCGGCCCTGGAAGAGAGGCACAGGGTCAAGCGTTGAATTCTTTGGAGGCCCCTGGCGCCCCCATGCAAAACTGTAGATTTACCAACTCAGTCACTCTGCCTTGCAAGGAAAGGTGTGGTGTTTACAAAAGGCCTGGACCTAACATTGTGGTCGTGCCAGAATATAGGGTACCTTGTAGCCACTCATACTGATTAATATATTCGCCGAGCAGCGGCCATGTCGACACACCCTTTCCGGTAGGTACAATGAAGGTACCCTAGTTTGGTAAGTGCTTTTTACACGTGTTAGGAATGGTACTGCTACAGCCCTAACTTCTCGACGTCCTTGTCATCTTTGATGGCCAACTGGTTTGGAGCCCTTTGGGCCTAGCCTAGGAGGTTGTTGTTGCTGCCTTTTGGCATGGAAGTTGCGCAGTCCCTTGACATCATGCTGGTTTGTTTTGGGTTTGAGGTGTCCTGGCTGGGGTTGCGTTGCGTTGTGTTTAAGGTTGATAAGCCCTGAACCCCATCCCCCCCTGGGCTCCGTCAATCCCTAACCCCATCAAACCTCCAGATCCAATCTGCCTTGAATCTCCTCTCACTACAGCTATCTTCAGCCCAGCACTGATCCAGTTCCAAATCTGGCATAAAGCATAATCCTCCATCGAATGTACTCTAAGTTATACTTGTGAACAGGGGTTAGTTGAGGATTGAGGGTTTATTTAGCGTATCCGTTAAGTTAAAAGTTGTGGAGCTCTGGGCTGGAGTATTCCCCGACGCCCGGAGGTACAGGGACATCTACGAGGCTGCAGGGGTGCCTATCCCGCTGGGGTCCCGGCTGGTGTTCCCGCTTACCCGGGAGTCTGTTAAAATGGGTCCTGGGGTGTAGGACCCGCAAAAGTAGGTCAAGTCGTCTGATGCCGGAATTCTCATTAACTGTTGGGTACAAGGTGTCCGGCCGT